TTTATTTTAAGTAGAGGAAAGAATATGAAATAGGTCAATAAAGATTCTAATATAATCTTTTAAACTGTGCAAATCTTGATATGCTACAGCAAAAAACAACCCATTGTCCTTATCTATGATTGCTTTATCAATTATATATTATTAGTTTTATTAGTTTTTTGTGCTACAAAACACTTGTATGGTACTTTCTGTTATTACTTTCATCATTATAAGTATCAATATCCGTTGTATTTGAGTGGGTGGTGTGTGCGGAGAACACCACCCTGTATGGAAGACAATATTAATGCAGAACATTTCATGTCACATGACAGGTGCAGGAGGGTAAACAAACTTCATGTTAGTTGCCATGGTAACAAGGTAGCATTCCCCCCAGGATGAGAAACAACGGGTGTTGTATTCTGTACAGACAGCAACGGTTCAACGGACAACTCAGTCTTTAGATTATTAAATTATCAGGGAGTTTTTTAAGTGGAAATCTCACTACCAAAACCTGTGGATTTATGGTTTAGACATATTTATTTTCACAAAAATGTGAAAATGGATTTTTAAACAAGCCAAGCACTTATGTTAATACCGCTCCAGTACACATAGGACATATTACAATAAATACATCAATGAACGTTAGATGTAACAAATGAATTGCACATGCCAAACTAGATGTGTATCTATAATAAATCTATTTGCAGTTTATATCAAACAATTCATTTAATTGAACATCTGCCAGTTTTTAATATGAAGTTTTGAATAGAATCTAATGTTTGAATTTGTTCTTCCTTCGTCAAATACAAATTTCCGCATAGCACTGTTTGTAAAGAATAACCGTGCTGGTAAAAATACATTTTATTTCAAAGAACATAAAAATTTGTACACACTAAAAGAAGTGTTAAGCATCATCAGTATGATATCCACAGGAACAAGTTTTTGTATCCAAGATATATCTATCATACTGATCGGCGTTAATTAAGATTGCAGCAGCCAAGCCTGAGGCGGCTGTGAATATTTTGACATACATATAACCTGTTTCCATACCTTAACTCCCAGTGTATACCTCCATTATCTCCGAATTTATGTGGATTTATCATTTGCTATTGTCTAATATTTCTCTGTATATAGAGAGGGTGTTTGAGATGTGAATATTGGAGAATGAGGTGTCACCTGGGTGGGATTGTATCTGGTTTGTAGAATTGTTTGGGGCCAATCAGATTACTGAAAATCTCATAGAAATTATCTATGCTGTAGTAGTTAAATTTTACCAAGTTTTATTTGTGACAATGTTGTTCTAATATTAATTTCAAATTATTGTTAATTTGTTTCACAGCTGACTGTTATTGTTATTTAAATATCTATTTTTCAATGCTTTTATATTTAAATAAAAGCATTGAAAAATAGATATTTAAATAACAACTGAGATTACTAAAAAAGATTTAGTCTTTGTGTCCATCATTTACAGCTATTTTGAGTCACTTGAGAGGCAATTAGTCTATCTTAAAACATCATGTACTTCTATTACCTGTGTGAAATTATACCAAATGATACTTGGACTTATGAATATTCATATATAAACCCTTTGAAAGTTCCTGTGTTGTATGGATTTTCTGATGGACATCACAAAGTTTGGCCGTGCATAACAAAGTGGTCATGTTCCCAGAGCTGAGGCAGACTGCCATGTCAATATTATGACTGAAATGTGTCACACTGTGTCAATGCACCTACTGTATCGCAGACACCTTGCAGCAGTTATTTATGATACACAATAAGTTTATGCTTGTGATGAATGAATTGTCCTCATATTCTGTTATTGATTTTTAATCACCTTTTTCTATTTCTTGACTTTTTGCTTTTACAAAGATTTTTGTTAATACCTTTGTTGATAAAATACAAAATGGTTTAATGAAAGGTTGCAAAGTTTCGCAAATATTTTCAAGGTGTTTTAATTGTATTTGTATCAATATTCTCAGTTGGATTATCAATAGAGCACCGGACGACACTTAATCAATAAATTGATATTTTAGTTTCAATGCACGCCCCACCTATGAGCGGAGGCAAACTTGCGATTAGGGTTAAAGTTACCACTTCTCTTTCGGTAGGTCACAAGCAAGATTAAAGCCCATTGTCATAAACACTTATCAAAAAAAAAATATTCAAGATTAAAGGCAATATGTTGAGCATGAAATACCTGTGTCGCCGGGATAGCAAGGAGTAGGAATGTGGTTTGTGTATCAATACACAGTGGTGGGCACAATGACTAATGCATCAACTGTTTCCACATCTTTGTCAGACAACACACAACGACAGTCAGACCAATACTCCTTTCTGCACGACATAACAATGTCAAATTTCACATATTACGGGTCACATAGCATGTGTGATTTTCTTTCGGTGGTTATTATAACATTTATTTATGTGGTGTAAAAGGAACTAAAGTAGGAGTTTTAAAATCCAATGTGACATATATTTTTTAAAAAGGTAAATATTTTGAAATGTAAATGTAAATATTTATTCATTAGGTACTTCTAAAAAAGTGTAATGTGTACATACAGGAAGTCTGATTTGGTTACCTGTTGGTGTTTGTTTGTACTCAACAATGACTTTGAAGAATACAGGGAGGGGGGGAAGGAGGAGGGCGGGGGGGGGGATATGTTGATACAACTTGTCCATCCAGCTGACATACTTGTGTGGGATGTCACCGAGTTGAGCGAGTTGAGCGTTATCCTCAATGATTTTCTGGTCGGTGTGTACAGGTCGTTGGGAGCAGCCATTGTTGTTCCAGCTACTGTGCTCCCTGATCACTCACTGCATAGAAAGACTGCAGCACAAAGCTAACAGGGAATTAATTTGGACAGATAGAAATATACAATTATGAGGTATCAAATCTACATTTGATCACTGTGACTGTTTGCTCTTGTTTGATACCAGTGGCTGATCTGTGTTGGAGAGTATTAGGACGGGTGGTTGATGACTTTCATCAATTTCTCATTAACATCATCAGCCATGGGAGATTGTCACACACTCATTAGCAGAGTGATATTGTTGATAGAACCAGAACTCATAACTGATATTACTATTGTCAAGAAATACACTCAAAATTAGGTGTCTGTGTTTCGTTTTCAGTATTACATTGAAATCTCCATCAATAGTAGGCCAAAGTCTCCTGTGCACTGATCACTAAAATACATAGAAATCAAGTTAAGCTTATTGCTACGAATCCCCTGGACTCAAAATTATATATAGAGGTTATCACACAAGTGTGTTTGGGGTTGGTTAATATCATGCATTAGGAATAAACATTGTATTTAGCAATTTGTATCCTGTATTTGTTCCTAATACAGGATATTTACCATAAACCAAACACACAAGCGTGATAACCTTTTTATCATATAATGTCATTCTTTAACTCTATGCTTGAAAATCGCTTTCCCTCTTTCACAAACATTACCGATACATTGCGAGTTTTCCTGGAATGCATGCATTAATATTTATTACGTCACAGGTGAAGTGATGTCTCAGTTAGACAGTGACAGTAACCAATATAGTTCCAACTGAAATCTGTTTTTTATGCAATGTCAAAGCAACATATATGCAAAACATATTTCTACTTGACTTTCGCGGCAATCCATCGGTCTGTTCGCTAGAGTAACTGCCCTTTGTCAAAGGGAAGCTATTCTAACCCTAGTCTGTGAGACAGATGTCACGGCCATTCACATTCCCGATGGTTAATTCTGACTCGATTGCCGATTGACAAGGGCTACACCATGTTTGTTTATAAACAGTGAAAGTATTCCCTACTTGAACATTGATATTTGCATCTCTATCCGCATATGACCCCAACGGATATCGTTTTTATCCGTTGGCTTTATCGTGCCAAGAAACCTAACCATTACATGATAAAATATAAGGCTGGGTAAGTCCCTGGTCACACATGGAATGATGACGAGAATGTAAGTGTGAGAGGTCACCCAGGTCTGTGTTGACTGGGGTGATGAAGGCTCCAGCATGGTATGTCATATTACCATCATTAAATAGCAATAATGTCCAGCGATGTAGTGGCACCAGCGAGGTAGTGGCACCAGCAACGTAGTGATCTCCATCCTCATTAAATCCTCCTCTATCTAAGTTGCTTGTAATGATCCCCCCACCTGCCCACAACCTCCAACCCATCATGCTCCCCTTTTCACCTCCTCCCCACCCCTCTCCCCCTCACTAAATCCTCTTCTTCACCTGTTCCCCCAGGCAAGACTAAGACGGAAATGTTAGATTAAAGAGGCCTCGGCTTCTCTTGATCGACCACTCCTTTTATTCTCAATAAAAACAAGATTACATTATGACAGACATCGGGCGCAAAGTGGCCGTTAACTGCACGATAGGATGTGACTCAATAATGAATCTGAAAGTGATCTTCGCATCTTTTGATGAAGGCAAAATCAACATATGTTCGTCCATATCAATCAGGGATTTGCCGACCTCTGGTGGTCAGTTAACTCCTGGTAATGAGTGTGTGAGCATGTTCCGAGAAAACAAGTTGCCACATGGCACCATGCGCTATCATTTCCCACTTGTTGATGTCATTTTCCCGTTAAGGTTCAATCCGGAGACTCAAGCATGCCCAGAGAAAGATTTAGCACTCATTATTGAAGATAACACGCTTAAAAGAAATTCTTCCAATTCTACAAAACAGGGATTCAGTGTGGAATTAGGTGGTATTTACATCTCTAATCTGCATTTGCTGCAGGAAAATCACAGCCTGTTAGACTCACGCCGTATGATCCATGAGTATATAAAAAATATTTCTCCCCTTGGGAAGGGTAATTTGGTGGTTCCGGTGCTCAAAGTATATTTGGTGTGATTTTGTATGAGAGAATTTGGAAGCATTCCGACTTAACAAAGCATGTGTGGAGGCCGAAGTGGAGCTTGCGGGCAGATACTCTCGGTTCACGGCTTTATCCAGACCTTCCGTCATCTCACTTCAATATGGAACAAGGGCATAGCATGAAAAACAAGGATTTGAAAAGTACATAAATTATTTTATTTTGTCAGGTTTAGTCAACAAGCCATTGACGTTGTTGAGAACTATGTTTTCACAGTTTACAAATCTCTGTCCAAATCACACCCACCATACGCACCCTGTCACGCCTCAACTTTCACACATGTCAATAACATCCCGGATCGGTCAACATGCCACACACTCCAACTACTCCCAGCCATCAACGAACACACTCACATTGTCCGATGAAAACAAGCACATTGGCCTCACACCAACAACATGGCTGCTACCATGGTATCACAGAGGGCACAAACACAGTCACATATAAAACACACAATTACAAGGGGACAAGCTTGTCCAGTAGACTATTTCCACAATTATCTGAATGAGTTGTCTATCTTTGATGTACAAGGATGCAGAGACAGCTGGTCTGTACGTAGCACTAGAGGAATGGAGTCGTAGGAGGAATGTAGTGTAATCCTGCAGTCATCATGAGTCTCTGCCATCATCGCTGATCCTCCCAACATCGAAACACCAGGCAAATCTCAAGTTAAACAATTTTTTAAGAAAAACTGTTATTTGTTTGTTTTTTGTTGAACTCAGCTGTAAATCTGCAGCTTTGCTTGCTGCAGATTGGAATGAAATGAGATTGGTTCTGAGACTAGTTATCCACACAAAATCACACAACAGGAGATTGAATCAACTAGTGTCTAATCCAGTAAATATCTCCAGTTTGGGAATGTTCCCAGTCATACCACAGAATACCCTAATAAATCTCCATTAGATTCTACCACTGCCCCAGCCCCCGTTGTGCCACTGCTGCAGTGGACCTGGGCCATGGTGACTGTGGGGTTGATGCCTCCGCCACCGTGTGGCGCTGCAGTTGGCGATGTTGCTAAGTTCTGTAGGTACATCCAACTGATGTGGGTGCTAATGTCTGTCAAGTTTACCTTCTGCGGCGAGAGCTCCATGCCACTGAAGGAAGAAGAATTGTTCATGGTCCTACAGGAAGAATTCAGATTCCTTGAAGAATGGAGATTTTTTACTGCACAAGTGAGATTTCTGTCGGATGTATTGAAATGTCTGGCTGATGAATTAATGTTCCTAGTTGATGAGTTGAGCGGCCGTGCACAAGCCTGCATCTGCGACTGAGCGTGAGCATTATCTGAAGGGGGAAGCCGCACTGTCTCTAGAGCACCCTTGTTGGATTTGATAGGCTTCAGCAAAGGAATGTCCTGAAGCTGATTATTTGCACTAGGATGGTATTGTCCTGAACGGGAACTCCTGAAGCCGGAATCCTCCGAATCTGTTGATCCTTGTGATGCTTGTGAGTGAGGCCTGTCCTTGCACTGGAACTCACTGAGTTCCGACAAGCCGCTGTCATGCGGGGCGTGGTACAGTCCGGGACGTGCCCCATGATCCTGCTCTGTGGAGGGGCTGCGACTGACTTGGTAAGCATCGTTATCCTCTCCGATCACAGACAGGCGCTGGAATTCCTGTCGGATGAACACGGGAGGAGGGGGAGGAACCCTTGACACGCCCAGCTGTCGCATCTTGCCGTGGGGGTCGTGTTTCTTGTGCAAGACCTCCCGTCGAGCTTTCAGACGATACCAACACACAATAAAAAGCACAAATAAGATGACAGTGATGATTGTTGGCACAATAATCCCCAGATAGAAGAGAATATTCATTGTTTTCCTTTCAATAATCATAATGGTTGGCTCTTGACTGCGACTTCCCCATCATAAAGGTTAAACAGGGCTGGTGGACACCACGGTCACATCGGAAATCTGAAAATAGACACACAAAATTAGAAAAACAAATAACCACACACATATGATACAACTGTCGTTTCATGAAACTGATGTGTCCAATATGGAATAAATTAAACCTTGAGGATCTTTGTGAGGGCATGGTCCTACTGGCACAAGATCTTAGCACTAAAATCATAGTAACTCCCATACTTTAACATAGGCTTACAATAGTCTTAGCGCTGAAATCACTTTGTGAAAGTAGGTCCTGGACTGACCTGTTGGACAAACCATCTCCAGGGGAAACACATGCATGTCAGTTGGTATGAGAGGGATGCAGTGTTGTGGCCTAGTTAACTGCCACACACCTGACAATGATCACAGTCACACCCATCCTGCCTCCACACAACACTGGCTGAGTGGGATCACCTCTCAACCTTGGCCAGTGTCGGAACACAATGCCTGATTCCCTGACCCATGGCTTCAGTGTAACAAGTGGCCAAAACATAACAGTCATGTATTGATCAGGATTAATCATCCCACCCCAGGGCACCTGCCACAGCCTCCCCTCTCACGGGACAATAACTAGCCCTCTTCCTGCAGACAGATCCACCCCAGGGTAGATGCTACCGGTCTCCTCACCCTCTACAATAGAGCTCCTCTGAATCTTGTCCTCAATGTAGACCCACCCCCAGGCCAAGGATCTGACACTTGTCAGGGTGGTGACATGTGCAGCTTCACCCCACAGGCTGCATTGTGTTCAGCATGCACATCCACCACGGCCATTTAACACATGGGGACTGACCGTCCTAACTATGCCACTGTAAGATTTCATGTTTGAAACCCTGGTATTTCTACATCCATTGTTGATCAGGGCTAGGTCGTCTGGAATGCAGGCCTTTCTTCACTGTATACTGCCAGCACTGCCCTGCTTCGGGAGATTTATTATTCATACAGGAATGCAGGCCTTCACAACTTATACATGTGATAAACACCATTGCACACACAGATGAAATATGCCCAAGAAAATCTTAGCCATTCTTACTTGCCTTCAGTTTTTATAGGCTAATTGTCCTAAAACAATGATTTTCAAATGGGATGATTAGCTGAGTTGTTCTTCAGTGGGAGACGATCTATAATGGGTGGTTATTAACTATTCATATCAACAGCTTGTTTCGTTTCACTAAACTGCAGATATTTACATTGACATTTTATTTTCCCATTACTAGAAAAGCTCAGCAGGGCAGGTGTCTTGGTGTTTTAGTGGAGGCATGGCCTTTGACATGCGATGCCTATTGTCCATTTGAAGGTCACCCGGTACAAGCTATAGATCGAGTAATAATTAGTTATGAACATCACGGTGGATGTGCTGTATCGCTAACTGGTTTTATGAAAAATCTGATTTTGTTTACAAGGATAATTTTAATTACATAGAATTTACCAGTAAGAATGACCATTGCCTCCATTTCAAATATTTAACACATGATGTAATTATATTCATCATTTAAAAGACTTGAGTTTTGTCAATAGTGATGGCACTTATAAATAAATTCAGTCAATTGGAATATATCCTCAGAATGTGATGAGTATTTTGTACATGTAAAATCAGCAAGGGGAATCTCAAGCATACAGTAATCATGAAGTTGTAGAATGACTAGCATCCATAGATTATGCTGTTTGGAAGAAATTGATAATTTCGTCCTAAATGAACTAGTAGTGGTGTGTTGGGGTAATGAGAGAAATCTGTCATTTCCCAGCCGTCCAGCGACACCTTCGTCCCCCAACACCTACCAGGGTAGAACCCGGTAGTCCTGCTGCTCCCCACAAGTAGGACACAATACCGCCATGACACCGGCAATAAACAGTCCCGTTAGCTGGGTTCATGGCCGTTAAGCCCCCTAAAGGAAACAGTTTATTCTTCCCAGTGGGACACCTCATGGATTATAGGGATGACCGGTGCTTTTGACCAGTGACCTCTAACTTCTCTGACCTAATAGTTACTGTACCCAATAAAGCTGATTAGCGTTATTTTAGTGAGGTCTCGGTAGAAGCCTGTTACTTCTGGTTGTTGTTCCAGATCACTATTCAGGTGTGACAGAGTGTATTCCACCTGCTAGGATTAACATGTCTCTGTAAATTGTTGTTCAACACTACCGGAGTAGTTTCCGGTCAGATGGTCGTAAGTCATCATTCATTGTTTGAGGCTAACCGTTCCAATGGATAATGTTTCTGACGCTTGTCTTAGAGATAGAGTTGGTAGGCCAGTCGGCCAATGTAGACATGATATCATTGATGGCTCTCCTGATATTTCCCTGTTGTCATGTTTTGGCACATTGTGATAGGGTATTATTCAATGGTGCATACGTGTGTGTTTGTATCACTGTCGGTTGATATGAGCAGAAGATATGATACAGAGAGTTTCATGGGTGGTAGTCAGCGAGCAATACGAGCAACCGTGACACAAACACAGCGCTGTGTTACAATGAGTTGTATGGGGATGGCCGGCTGGGAGAGCGGGTTACCCACCGATACCCACTGTAACACTTGTGGAGAGATGGTATCAGGTACCATGTACCAACAGTACACCTGGAGCACCACAGGATCACACCATGATAACAGACTCTGATCTTACAGATTTTGTGATTGAAAAAGAATCATTTTACCTTTACGTAATCGGGAGAAAAACAGTCATGTAAACGTGATTGAAAGGAGTATATTTAGTTGCGTCTGTTTGTTAGTAAAATCCTGGATAAAGTTAAAACACACATTAGTTTTAAGGGGAAGTTGCATGTATGGGTTGTGAGTGCAGGGCTGCAAATATCCCTGTCACCGCCCTGAAACAAAGCATTGATACAGTAGAAAGGAAATTCCCCACTGTGTGGTAGAGTTGTCCAGGGTGGGCATGATGGGCATAGTGATGCTGTGTTGGGTCAGACCTGGGCCGGCTCCACTCGGCTTTCATCTCGTAGGTTGCATCATGTCGATAGTGTTTTATGAGCTAATCCTACACACATCTGTACCGGGATCTCAAACATTCCGACATGCTGGCTCTAGGTTGCTATGAACATTGTCCTCCGTGGGAGGCAGGAACAGACAACGATGGACAGTTGGGTCCACAGAGGAGAACGCCTCATTGCATGTTCTACCCAGGTATAAATGCTGCATCATGTTCTAGACAGGGTACATTTCATCAGGTGCTCAACACAGAATACAACATTCCATCATGTGTTCTACCCAGAATACAACATTCCGTCATGTGTTCTACCCAGAATACAAAATTCTGTCATGTGTTCTACCCAGAATACAACATTCAATCCTGTGTTCTACCCAGAATACAAAATTACATCTGGTGTTCCACCCAGAATACAACATTACATCAGGTGTTCTATCCTAATTACAACATTCCATGAACATTGAGAAGTCCAAAGAAACAATTGTACTACCCAGAGCACAACAGTTCTTTTCTAGTCCTACCTACAATACCACACCTAGACAGGTACATTATCCAGAAATCTGTATACAAGTTCAGTTTAGAAATATGATATATACAAAAGATAGTTATAATTATTTTAACAACATAAGTGATATCATACGTCATGTTCACTTTCTGACGTTGGTTATTTTGCATGGGTTGGTGTTTCTGTTAGATAGGTTCAATGTTAACACAGTTTCCTTCCTGGAGAATGATACCTTTAGGAGTCATAGGCATTTGGGGTTATGAAAATATGAATGATTTATCATGGCAGTGACTGATCTCCTTGTGCATAGGTCCTACTGGAAAGGCAATCTAAAGTATAGATTTCTTTTCTACAAATTACCATAAATAATTAATGGTAAGCTCCACACAGTAATGTTGGATGTTGAGACAAGCCACTTCAGAATATGACTAAGGCCATTAGTACTTCACTGTCCGACATTATTATCCGATCTCTATCTCTATAGTGGGGAATATTATATATTTATACACCAGCTAGTAGATAACGTTTATTGCAGTTGAAAAATATAACATTTGCCTGAATGTGACTCATCAACTATTAACATCTGCCACTTCATATTGTCTTGTAATAATTTAACGTTGGTCAGATTCGTGTTAAAATTGTTAATGATTAATAAACAAGTTATAAAAATACCTTTTTTGATTTATGTTTCTGTTTATTTCCTTGCATTGCTCATTTAGTGCCGATTTTGAAATTGGTACAGAGATCTTGAAGCAGATTGACTCAAGACAGTTGGAACAGAAGCATTTCATGAAAGTGTTCGTGTTGAAATGTTCTTTGAATATTCATGCCGTCATAGTTATCAATAGTTTTCAGCTATTTTGAAAATATAATGTTTGTGAAATAAGTTAGTAGTCTGTAAAGTATGATATATCATATTTGTTTTTGAATTGTATAAATGTTTTGGTTTCCTTCACCTAAGTCAAATACATGAATTGGAGTTGCTTACGGCCAGTGTATGGTTTGTTTACTAATATCTACCACAGTCCATGTATCGTTCACTGATTGTGACCGGACTACAGGACAAATCACAGTAATTAATGACATGGGGAAATATTTTGATGTATTGAGTCTGTGTGTCCAATATTACTGATACTCTGCAGTTACTCTATTTTATATATAAAGTATTGCACAACAGAGTTGCCATGTTAATTATGGTTATTGAGATAATGTAAAAATGTGACCAAATACTACACACAGTTTGTAATATATTAAATATTGTACCATAATGTTAAAGCTATAAGATTAATTATGTTCAATGAGATAAAATAAACATTGTGACCAAATAATATTCAAAGACTGGAATATATTATTGTACCATTATGTTAAAGCTATAAGATTAATTATGTTCAATGAGATAATATAAACATTGTGACCAAATAAGTCTGAATATATAAAGTATTGTACCAGAGTGGAAGCTATAAGATTATTAATGTTCAATGAGATGATATAAACATTGTGGCCAAATAATATTCAAAGTCTGAATATATAAAGTATTGCACCAGAGTTGTAGTACAAGATTAATTTTGTTTAGTGAGATGA